CAATGTAATCTTGGTTTCTGCTATCGAAATGGTATAGGGACGACCAAGGATGAAAAAAAGGCATTTGAGTGGTATTTGAAATCTGCTGAAGGTGGCAATACCCAAGGACAATGTAATCTTGGTTTCTGCTATGATAAAGGCATAGGCATAGCCAAAAATGAAAAAAAGGCATATGAGTGGTATTTAAAATCTGCTGAAGGTGGTGATGCCGATGGACAATTTAATCTAGCAATGTATTATTTGAATACAAAAAAGGATGAAAAAAAGGCGTTTGAATGGCTTTTAAAATCAGCTGAAGGCGGTAATCCCTGTGGACAATATGAACTTGGATTACGTTACCGAAACGGCGATGGAATATCATCCAATATGGAAAAGGCTATTGAATGGCTGCAAAAAGCAAAGAATCAAGAAATAATTAGTCGTAAAAATCTTGATCTTGATAATTCTCTAAAAATATCATTATTTGAAAATAATTTAATACCTTGGATTCCATTTGAAGAATTAGAATTTATAGAGGAAATTGGGAAAGGCGGGTTTGGTACAGTTTATTATGGTACATGGCAACGCACGTTTACAACCGGTAATATTACCGAGAATGTTGCACTTAAATTATTTCATGATGCAAACAATAGTTGTCAGGAGATTGAAAATGAGGTGAACATTTATTAGTTTAATGCTTAAAATAAAAGGTTAAATTTGACTATATTTTTAATTAATAAATAATAATTTTAAAGCTAAAAGCATATTATAGAATTGGATCTAAAAATCCAATATTTTTACAATGCCATGGAATGTCAAGGGACGAAGACACAGGAAAATATATTCTAGTACTGCAATATGCAGAAATGGGATCTTTACGTGAGAATCTTTATACTATTGCACAAATGAAATGGGAGAAAAAATTAGAACTGATATCATATATTGCACATGATCTTCAGTTAATTCACTCACATGATATTATTCATCGAGATTTACATAGCGGAAACATATTCCAAAACAATTTACATAATGCATATATTGGAGATTTAGGATTTGCGACAGCAATAAACAAAACATTAGAATCCGAAACAATTTATGGAGCTTTACCGTATATTGCTCCTGAAATTTTGCGAGGAAACCCATTTACTAAGGAATCAGATATTTACTCTTTTGGGATAATTATGTGGGAAATTTCTTCAGGTGATATTGCATTTTCTAATGAAAAAAGTAATGAACCAAGTTTAATTATGGAAATTTGTGGTGGGTTAAGACCAAATATTCTTAAAGGTACAGCAACATGTTATGCAGAGCTTTTAAAAAAGTGTTGGGACAAGGATCCAGGTAAACGTCCATCAGCTTTAGAAATTCATGAAACCATTAAAAATTGGAAAAATAACTCTAAAATTTTATCAGAATTTAAAAATTCTGATAAAGAAATGGTAATAGAAAATAATCATTCTGACGTTATTATAGATAGCAATTCGGTTTATAGTAGTAAGCTTATTAGTTTAATGGATAATTGTGCTATCTCGGATAGTAGTAAGCGTAAGCGTATTAGTTTTATCAATCAACAACCACATAATCGTGTTACTTCAAATGATAATATTGATATTGAAAAGGTAAAAAAGAAGATTGATGCTGAAAAAGTAAAAATGGACATTGATACTGTAAGCGTAAAAATAGATGTTGATGCTGAAAACGTAAAAATGGATGTTGATGCTGAAAACGTAAAATTAGATGCTGATGATAGATATATTAATAGTAAAAAAAGGATTTCTTATTAATATGTATGTTGTAGGTGGATTCGGAATTTTGTGGATTCAGAATCCACTCAAACGGATTCGAATCCAGAAACAACTTAAGTCGATTTCAGATCTTAAAATATTATTTAAATAATCGAGTATTTAGTAATCATAAATCATATGTATTTAAAATAATTGTACCTATTTCACGAAAGTTTAACCCCCAAAAAAATTATTTATTACAAGACAAGTTTTTAATGAATGAATGAATGAATGAATTTTTTTAAAAAAAGTCACTTGCAAGATGTCGTAAAGTCTTTATTTCACAATCCAATTAAAATTTATAATTGCGGTACTATATGACCCTACTAATACTATGTTATAGAAGTTGGGATTGAAACGATTCCAAATTATCAATTCATATGGATATAGACGTTCTAATTTGATGTGGAAACTGTCATTTCGTAGTATTAAATGCAAAAATAGAGAACTAATTTCCAATTTCCGCAGTTTTTATTATGAATAAACCAATCATTATCGAAATATATATTGCTTACAATTTTTAAAATTATATTTCTGCCTAAGTTGTTTTAAGATTCAAGTGGATTCAAAATTCCGAACATGACACACCTAGTATCGCCACCAAAAAACAGGAGGAAACGTTGAACGTCATAAAATTGTTACACAATTGATAAAAAATTTTTTTATATTATTTTACAATACTT